AAAACAATTAACAGAGAGGCCTCTCTGGACAAGGAGGGATGCCATTCCATCAAATGGAGAATGCATGCCTGCTATCCAGCCCTGGAGGCCCCACACTGGTGAGAACACAGCACAGGGGCTCCCGAACAAGACCCCACACTGACAGCAGGACAGTGGTGGAGGTTTCAGCAAACCACATGTGCCAGTCCTCCTTCTGTCAGCCCATCAACCTAAGTGGCTGACAGAAGATTAACAGGAAGGCAATAGCAGTAGGATGTAAAAGATTTGCCCAAAAAGTTAGCTGATCATTGACAATCAAGAAGAACCCAGGAGATGAATGAGGATTTGACTTGTCCTCCATGCACAGTCAATCCTGGCCTGAACATTTGAGCAGGTATGCCATGAGAGTATGGCTGTGCAAAATCAATTTGTTTAATAACTATGACTATTACAATCCTCTACCCCTTCCGGAAGATCTTGCAGTGAGTTTTGTAACCCTAATCTCCTATAAACCAACCAAAGTGAGAAAAGACTGATCACCAAAAGGCTGGGTTGCAATCATCGAAGAGGTGTCATCTGAAAGAAATGTGGACACACTGGGTCTCGGTACCTTTATGCTGTGTGTGCTAAACAGAATTTTGCTTCAAAAGAGCAGCTATCCTGGCCCACCTGAGTGCTCTAAAACACAAGGTTTCCTCCCTACAGACAGGAGTGTCACTGGGAGCAGGTGACAACAGCTGTTCCACCCCATCTGTGCCCCACACACTGAACCACATATGGCAGGAGCTATAAGTTGTGACCTATGAGAGGGGAAAGCAGTTCTGCCAGGGCACAGTGGCCTGGGATCAGGCTACAGTGGACAGTACAGCACACCACACTGCCAGAATCATCTTAAATGATACAGTGAGAAAGAATCAAATAATAACAAAATGCTGGTAGTATCACACCCCAGTGTCACCATCAGTCAGCAGCCACCACCTCAGACAGCCCCCCATCACCAGCTGGGCATTGCCCTCACCAGCTCACACAAAAGCAGCTGATGGGGAAGCTGGGTGACTGTCCAAAGACACCCAGCAAACTACTGCTGCAGGAGAGCTTCTGGTTTCCTTAAACAAACCGCCCATAGTCAGGCAGCAAAGCAGCTCTCCCACCCTGCCTGAACTTCAGAGCAGCAGGACAGGCAGGGGACAGCAGCCTGCAGAGGAGCCTCAGCCTCTGGCTGCCCCTGGCAAGCGAGGACAGAGGTGTGTGCCCTGCACAGATGGTTGCACAGCACCCCCTCCTGCCAGCAGCCCTCGGGAGCCCTGAGAGAGATGGAGACTGTCTCCTTTAGGGACGTTCTTCTCCAGCAAAGCTCCTCCATAGGTGTGGGTGTGCAGCCCTGGAAGAACAGAGGCTGTCTTTGGAAAAACTGCCCATGGAATACTAATCCCTGTTACTTTTCATACTGGAGTACAAGGTGAGAGATGATGTGACAAATACAACGTAAACAGGCTCAGCCACCAGACCTTCCTTTCCAGGAGCATATTTCACTCTGCAGAACCTCAGCTCTGAGGTTCACAGCAGCTCTGCCTGCTCACCTTTTGGGCAGATCACTGATGTTGGTGAGGTTCTCACTGCCTGCATCACACTCAGCATGAGACAGTTAATGGGATCTCAGGACTGCTTCCAGAGCTCTTGTGCACTCTGGAGGCAGGGGGTCAATACAGGATCTCACCACAACCCTGTGAAACCTCCAGCTAATGAGAACTGTAGTATCTAACTAAGCAGGGAGATGTGTGCCACACTAGCACTGTTCTCTATGGAGCCATAGAGTATGCTGAGTTGGAAGGGACCCATCAGGATCATCATCCAACTCCTGGCCCTGCACAGGACACCACAAGAGCCACACCATGAGCCTGAAAGCGTTGTCCAAATGCTTTCTGGAGCTCTGTCAGGCTTGGTGCTGTGACCACTGCCGTGGGGAGCCTGTTCAGCGCCCAACCACCCTCTGCGTGAAAAACTTTTTCCTGATATCCAACCTAAACCTCCCCTGGCTCAGCTCCATCCATTTCCTCAAGTCCTGTCACTGGTCACGAGTGAAAAGATCGGTACCTGCCCCTCTGCTTCCCCTTGTGAGGATGCTGAAGACCACAATGAGGACTCCCCTGTCACCTCTTCTCCAGGCTGAACAGACCAAGTGCCCTCAGCCTCATATGTACTCCTCATAGGCTTCCTCTCCAGGTCCTTCCCCATCCTCGTGGTCCTCCTTTGGATGATCTCTAACAGTTTAATGTCTTTTTCACATTGTTCAAGGCCTCTGCTGCAGTTCTCATGCTCCTCCAGAGGATCAAGCTGGGGAACCCCTGCCATGCATTGGGAATGGGACCTTTAGGAAGTCTGTGTTCTGACAGTGACTAGCAAAAGATGGGATTTCCTCAGCCCTGCAGGATCCAGGTGAGCAGCAGTTACACCTGGGCCACTCCAGAGGTTGTATGGACCCAGGCAGAGCTGCTGCAGGTGCAGACTCGAAGGTGATAGAACTGAACAAGGAAATGCAGCCCTCCAAGAAACAAACTCCTCTCTGGCTTGCCAGTTCTACTGTGGTCAGTCCATCTTTGCAAACTGGCTGCTGTTCAGCTCTCAAAATCCACTTGTCCTCCAGTAATCAAAAAGTAAACCACCCTCCTCTGCCCGATTGTGTATTTTCTCTCTATAATTAAACGTGACATGCAGCTGCAGTAAATATTTGTGCTGTCATAGCTCACATATGATTATGACCAAGAAAACAACTTCAGCAGGGAATGCATATAAATTCTAGTCTAGTCTGTAGCTGGGCTGATATTTGTAGTCTAATGCAAATTCACTAAAGCCAGGAATTTGACAGAGTAAGAGTAAATAAAGAACTTAATTTTACTTTTCATGGAAAAGGTAACTGTTTATCCATATACTGAGGCAGCCTTGAAAGGCTGAGTTTAAGAAATAATCTAATTGCCACTAGATGGCACATCTCAATTACTAATCTATATTTGAATTCAGGATTGCCTTTTAAAAATATATATTCCCTCTCTTTGCTAACATAACATTTTGTGTTGCTTTCTATTTTGAAATCAGAAAGCTTAAAAAAAAAACACATAGAAAAAAAGGAATTGTAAACTAAAAATACACCATCTGCCAGTAAAAACCTAGCTTGGTTTTCTGTCACATCTACAACCAAACCAGGTTAATAACCAGCATCACAGATGGTTTCTTTATATAAATATGTACATCTCCCCATAGTGACTCTTTCAGCTGCTTCCCAAAACTGCTGGCACTGTTACCTTGTTTCCTTGGCAATAGCTGTGCCTTACACTCAGCCTGAACGTTGTACAGCTGGAATGGATTTCAGAAGATGCCAACCCCTGCCTGTGGCTGTTTCCAGCACCAACAAGGGATGCAAGGGTGGACAGCCATGTCTTTACCAAAGAAAAGCAACAGATGGATATTAAAACATTCTTGTGCAGCTGGTCTCTTCCTCAGATGATCAAATCTGCTGAAGGGTTCTTTTAACTTGCCCAAATCCCCACATAAGGGTACACACCAAATATCATGGTGACCTTGATACGGTAGACAGGGCTGTAGACAGAGCAGTAAAGGTACAATTTGATCTTTCTGCAGCATTCAGCAACATGAATTGTCATAAACTACTAAGACACAACCAACAAAACCACTGTGGGGTGCCATGCCCGTTCTCCATGTGTAGTTAAGTATCAGGGTCTCTGCAATCAAAAGTGGTTATTTCCTAATTCTCATACGTTCAAACTCACTTGAGATGAACACTTGAACTCATTTCTCCTCTTCTACTGCCAGCAGTAAAATGCGTCTCATACCAAGCTCCAAACCTATTGCCACCACTTTGAAAACCTGCCACCTTCCGAGAAGTTTCAAGAGCATCAAACCTGTTAAATAATGATACAGAAAACAAACAGAATCCCATCAATTTTTTCTGATTCTACTTCAGTCATCTGAAAAACTCTAGAAGTTAAATTTAATATAATGACTGAGATCATGCTACTCTGTGGCATGGAGTCTAAAGCTTCTTGGGAGCTCAGCAGCAGTGGGGTTTGACATAAACTAGATTAGCAACGACATGGACATGATTTCTCTTGGTATCCATATGGCACATGCCCACTTTATACCACAGCAAAGGCTAAAAGATTGTAGTTTTTGCCAGTTTATAATTTCTGTGGGGGTAATAAAAAGCGTTTCAAGGAGTACTCTAAGAAACAGAATAACAAAGGAGAGCAAAGGCTGAGACTCACACGATCACAAGCTCCATCCACACTGATACAAGTGATAAAAATCAACTCACTGCTTATGTTTGGGCCCAAATTTATGAATACCTGTAAAATGAAGGTCATGATATTGATGTCTGAACTACTCTGAAACTTGTAATGATCTCTTTAAATACTAAATACTATCATAGATGAACTGGAAGCCCCATCTTTCCTATGGCCTGCTCTACACTCAGATGTCAGCTCCTTTCATTCTGGGTTTGAACAGCTGAGCATAAGATGGCAAGTTCCATCCCACTGGATTATTCAATCATTTCCACTGTTAGCAGTGTGTTATTTTGGAAATACTAATTTAACTTGTGACATAACCAGAAAATTGCAAAGAGAAGTAATTCCAGTCATAAAAATAGCATTCTAAAATGGATAGGCAAAGTTCGTAAAATATTTAAAAAGCTGCAGTGTGTGTAATCTGTTAATGAAACTGAAAACTGATTTCAGACTTGGCATTATGAAGCTGTGACAAGGTTAGGAGTGCCCAAGGGATGCAAGGGTGGACAGCCATGTCTTTACCAAAGAACAGCAACAGATGGATATTAAGACATTCTTGTGCAGCTGGTCTCTTCCTCAGATGATCAAATCTTCCTCTTTCACATCACTGAAAAAGTGTTATCAAATGCTGAGAGCAATCACTGCTCTGCACTCCACTGAATTTATCAATGGCAAATGGTACCTGCAGAAGTCAATTAATCAAATGTATACAACAGCAACTTCTGAGTTCAAAGCTTTATCATTTAAACCTCAACTTCTAGAAACCTCACCACACACAGAGAGCTAGACCTTTATTTTAGGCAAAAAATGAACTATCAGAGCAGTTTCACTTGTTTTTACATAAAAAGAAGGCACACCTGCACAATTTTCTACTTCGAAACTTATTTTACAAGTGCCTTGAAACCAAATGTGAACAACTGGCTGGGACATTCAGCAACATGGCATTTGATGCTTACAGTAATAACTGCAGCTGGCACATCCCTCCACCCCACCACCACCACTGCTGCCAACTGCTGGCTGCCCAGTACAAGCCTGGTTTAATTCTTAAAGAGTTCATTGCATTTAACACAAAACACAGATCACTGTGATGTTTCTTATGAATATTTTAATGAAAACAGAGGACCAGCTGTTCAGATTCAGTCAAGAAACCAATGCTGAAATGACAATCCTGATGCTGGGGCTAATGTAAAACCAGCAGATTCAGCTCCCCATTTTTTAAAAAGAATATTCTTGCCATGCCTTCCCATTCTAGGGCACCAGGAACTTGGTGAAAATGAAACTGAAAACTGAATTGAAATTGTTCACAGTTTGTTTTCCTGTTGCTTGAAATCTGTTTAGGCATTTGCTTCACTTCTTACATAAAGAAATAAATAACTCAAGAATTACAATAAAAACGTGACAAACAACAAAGTAAGGACTGAGTCTGAGTTCACAGTAGAAGAACACATTTTCTTATAATTTCCCTTGGCAGGACTGAAACAGTAGGTAAAATCCTTTGAAGTGCCCTAGCTACTTTGGCACCTTATTGTCATTCACAGAAAAAAAATAAAGCACTTACACAAACAGAAATAAATTTCCTAAATAAAACACAATGACTTTGAAAATTTTCACTAGTGTTACATTAACATAAGAGAAATGTAATTCCCTTCAGCGATTTGAATTAGTCCTAGTGCAGAGTAATTCAAAATTACATAGCGAGTCGGTGTCAGGTTAATGCTTCAATCTAACACTATCCTTAAAAATCCACATAAAATAAAAATAATAAAAAAATCCCAAACGCCAAAACCCAACACCCAAACAATATTTTGATCTGCCTATATTTATAATTGGTACTGCTAACTAATAATTGCTGTGTTGCAGAATCACAACTGCCAGTAAAATCCACTAGAGTGTAAAAGGCCTGCTCTGGAAAGGTTCATTCTCCGTACTCTATCTGTGCTCTCAGCTCTTTGGAGAGATAATTGACCAGCACCGCTGTGAGCTTCTGCTGCAGCCCAGCATTGCCCATGACCAGAGCAGTCAGCTGAACAACATCCGTCCAGTCTAAGTGCCTGATAACATCAACAGCTTCATCATAGAGTTTCTGCTGCTCAGTAGGAGGCAATTCCAATAAAATCTGAGGGACTGGTTTGAACTGTCCAGAAGTCATCCAGGCACCAAGCAATCCACCAAATGCTCCACCTAGAAAAGACAGAGAGTTGTTAGTCTTTACCATTTAAATGAAATCCCATCCACAGCCTTCATCAACAATGTGTCTTCTTTAACTAGGTTTATACACGATATTCAAAGCACCAAGAAGGATTTCTAAAGCACTTTACATTCACAGTAATCACAAAGAAACTCTTTACACAATCAATGCTAATAGCTTCAAGCTAGAAATCAGAAACACAAGGACACTGGTCTCTTTAGGATAAGCTCTACTACTAAATAAAACCACGCCCAAGGAAAACACCAGACCAACAACTGTCATTAACACTACTCTTACTAGAGATTGCCAGACTGATCCAAGCTTTCTGCTTCTTTAGTCACACATTGCAGCCTCATACTCCCGTGAAGCCCAGCCCTGAAGGTGCTCAGAGACTAAACCACTGGACACATTCATGCTTTCAGGTACCAAACCCACGTCCCACCCACAGCAGCTGGACAAGACATGCTTGGGGTAAGTAGAGGGTTCCAGGTCATCAAGGTAACAGCAGAGGGATCCTCTACAGCTGCCCTGACTGTGGCTGCTGCTGAGAAAGCAGCCTGGCAGTCCTACACTCTGTTCTCTGACGCCAGTCTGACCTGCACCACAGCAACTCACACGACTGACACTGCTGCCCAGAGCACACACCCTGCTGGAAAGGAGAACCCTCACCATGGAGAGGTGTCGGAACCCACCCTGCTTCCAAAACTGCCACCCCCCACAACTGCTCCTAAAAAGTCATTTATGCACTCATAGGGATGCACTTTTTCATTAGACAAAAATTCTGTAATTTGCAGCTTTTACTCAGTTGGCAATTTTTCCCGTGATACCACAGAAATACTTGAAAGCCTACGATGGCTGAATTCATCTTCAAGGGACTTTTATGAGAACATCAATACCTGATTTAGGGGCACTTAATGCAAAAGGCACTAGAAGTATTGATGTCTAAGCTCCACATCCATTGGCACAAGATTTGTTATATGATCCCACTTTTCCCCCCCAGGCAACACACCCACAACCCATTCTTCTCAGAGCAAGCAGTTCTTAGAAAGCAGGATTGCTGCAAGTACTTCCATTTACTGTTGCAGATGGAAGGTAACTCATCCTCTATTTCCTGATGCAAGGCAGCAAGAAGTACAATGCCTGCTACCCAGTCCCACAGCCATCCAGGCTGTTTGTGTAAGTGAAAATGACCTGACTGCAAATGTTTCTCTAACTGTCCTAAGTGCTCAGGGTTGTTTATATATACTTGGGACTGGGAGACATTATGAAGGCCTAAACAAACACTTAAGAGAAAACACATCCAAGAATAACTTCAGTGTTTCTCATCACCTCACTCAAGAATGAGACCACTTACATTATCACATTATTATCTTTACTTCTGATTTTAAGCTTACAAATCTCTTACAAAAGCTTAATTTCCCTTCTTTGTTCCTGATAGCTTCAGTCACGTTTGTCAAAACACTATTTTGGCTATTAATTAAGCTTTGTACTTGTAATAGGAGTAAATACATAACTTCACTTTGCATTTTCTGTTATCACTCCTCACATATTATTTCCTTATTTTTTTGTAACTCAACCTTGCTAACCCTCACACAGGAATATTGCAATTCACTCCAATACCAATAAGCCTGTGACATTGCTGGAACTGCTTGCAGGAGTAAGGAGCACTCAAGGACCCGGGCTGACAGGACTTCAGTGGCAAGGCAGCTTTTAAAATAAACAACTCTTAATTCAAGAGTTATAGAGGAGAGATAGCTCTTTACTATTAGACTATATTTCCTGTAATTTTCCATGCCAGGAAAAAAAACCAAAGTGACAGGGAATAATGAATCCCAGAGGACAAAAAAAAAAGTTCACCAAGAAATTAATAGCAGGAACTTTTAAAATAAAGAAATAAAAATAATTTGTAATAAGATCACTCGGAAGATGATCCTGTCTCATGCTAAGGCTAAGAATGCTTACTCACCTCACTCCACACCCCAATTTTCATTCTTCTGTGCCACCAGGTACCAACATCCCCCTGACTGCTGCCATCATCTCTGTGCTCCTTCCTCCCTGCCTCACCCCTCTCCTCTTCCCACCAAGGCACGAAGTCTCAACACAGAATGCCCTTTTCCTTCAACTTACACCTACTACACAGACTTCCTAGTTTCTCCGTCCAGGGATTTAACCACCCTCTTGTTCCCAAAGCAAAACACACTTACCTACAGCGATTCCAGGGGGACCTCCCACCAGACCCCCAAGAAAGGCTGTGGCACCTGCCAGCAGTGCTCCCCGACCAGAGTGTTTGACAGCAGCTTTCATCCCCCTCGCCTCAGAGACGTGGCAGAGCAGCTGCATCACATCATCAACAGGGATGGGCATCTTGGCAAGTTAAGATCCTGGAAAGAACGTTTTAAGTTATCTTTTGATCACTGCAACAGAGATTAAGTCTGGTTGATAAATGAATTTTAGGAATAAAACCACTGTTCGTGAGTCTGTAAGACAAAAAGGACAGACACACAGAAAATACTGCGTGCAAAACTGCTTTCTCTTTCACTTCTTGGAAAACTAACCCTACTGGCAAACAGCTGAAACTGCAAATGAGACCTCAGAGCAGACCACAAAAAAATGGTTTCACAGAAATTTCACAGAATATTCTGAGTTGGAATGGACCCACAAGGACTATAAAGTCCAGCTCTTAAGTGAATGGCCCATAGAGGGATTGAACTCACAGGCTAGGGTGTTATTAGCACCATGCTCTAACCAGTGGAACTAACTTGAGAAATTCAGAGATTCTACAGTATGTAGTACCTAATTCTACAGTACATTGCTTTTGCCTTGAGCAACTCCCATGTGTGTTCAGCATCACACACCACTCCAGGAAAAAGACAAAGCAGAGCCTCACTCTACCACAACTAGCAGATTGTAAATGACGAATCTGTCAGGTATTTTCTCCCTGTCCTAATTCTTGCCACAAATCAGTTGGTTGTTTTCACATACCAGTTCTTCTCCCTGTTTTGTTACAGGCTTAAACACTTCCATGCTGATTTCTGAAGGTGGTAGGCTCTATGTAGCAACCAAAGAGCCTGAGGAAGGGAACAGATTTCAGGAGTCAGAGGAAAAACCTGGGACTGGGAAAAAATGCTCTGGAGACAGGCCATCAGAAATGCAGGGGTGTATATGTACAGCAGTCAGGACTCAGAGCAGACACACCAGACAACTCTCATGTACGAGGAGGCAGAGACACGGGACCCCAGCCCTGTTACACACTGAGACACGCCCTGAACATGGAGCAGAGACCTGTCCCTGAGAGTGACCCCTCTGAGACCAAAACTTTTCCACTCCATTCACTTGCTGCTGCTGCTCATTTAGCAAATACCTCCCATCCTGCACACCAAATGAGGAAAGAGCTTGCAGGGATAAAAAAAAAAAGTATTCGATAGGATTAAAAATATAATCACATATACACAAGCAGCAGATTTCTTGTTGTACATGTAATGTCAGCACTATAGAATCGATGAGCATTTGATTTTCAGCCCCTAGAACACCTCTTATCCCAGAGCATGTTCAATACATTCTCAGCCCATGCCAACCTGTCTTCAAGTCTTTCTTGAATAGATCTCAGTGCAAAGTGAAAGTGGAGTGCTATCAAACCATTTTTCATATTAAAAATTAACTACTGTGACAGCGGAAGCTTTCTTTTGCAGTAAAATGGCTGACTGCAAATCATCCATGTCCCTGCAGTATCCAAGCGCTGCTGACACTAAACAAAAGTCTGGGGTTTGGGAAGGGACTGCTTATGCTCCACAGCGGCAAAGAGGCACAGTAGGAAATTCATCAAATAGTTGATTTCTCTCACTACTTCATTCATCTTCATGCCAGTCTAAAGAAAACATCCAAGTGTCATCATTTTACCACCGTTGCTTTTGGGTTTTTGGCAGGCTGATGACACAGCAGTGGATCAGCATGGCAGTGTGTGCTGGTTAGAGACAGCAGAGCCACACGCTCTGCTTCCAGAGTTACACATCATCTCATTCAATGTGATGCAAGCTCAGAGTAATAAAATAACGGCTGCTCTGTCTGACCTAAAGCAGTAGGGGAAAAAAAAACCCACCAAATATACAACTGGTACAGCTCACGCTGCCTGGGAATGATGGCAAATGAGACGATTAAGTGTTTGTCTTTATCTTCCTACAAAGGGTGAGCAGTTTGACACTCAAGAGTAACCTTCTCATCAGCACCAGGCAGCCTGAAGTGCTGCAGGATTCACTTCCTCCCCTCAGCGAGACAGAAGCTGAATCGTGCCTGTCCTGCACCTCCTTAGCATGCCCTAGGACTAATCCAATGTGCTGAAATGAATTTGCATCTCCTCTTTGGGCCAAATCCAGCAAATGTCTCACATGAAGCTCTGCAGCATGAAGGCTCTGCAGCATGGTCAGGACAAGACAAGTTGGAAAGCTGACAACACACACAGCTCTCTCTCAGAGTGATATCATCTGCTTTCCCCCAGTCAAACTGATGGAATTCCACAGTTTCCTAAACCAATCTAACTGTAATAGATGTGAAATGGTGTTTTGTGAGCAGAGACACCCGAAGCTGAAGCCCCAGGTTCCTGCAGCAGGCCAAAGCTGGCTGCCCATAGAAAACAACCTGCATTACTCCATCCTCCACATGGCCAACACCAGGACGTGTCCTTACGCTGACCTTACACTGACGTGGCATTGCAAGCGCGATCAGCTCTACCCTGGGGTTCCTCTGAATATAAAACACCCTTTTATGACCAGTTTCAAAGTGGTTTAAAGGTGAAAAAACCCAGACTGTAATAAAAACAGAATTCACACTGCTATCTGGTGGTGTACAAAGCGTGGCAAACACACGAATTCATAACTGCCTATTAAGGTAAAGCAGAAACATGCTGGAACTCAAACAACTGTAAGTAGCCTTTCCATAGTAAATTATTTTAGAGTTTTACTCCCCTCACAACTTCCCTGAAGGAAATTTCCACTCGCAAAATTAATATTTATTTGGGTTTTTCTGGCTTGACTGAATAAAGTTCTTGGCATAGAAAAGCCGTTCCTGCTTAATTCTGAATGTAAGCAGAACACTCAAAACTCTCAAAGACATTACAAGCAGCATTCATTTTCTCTCAATTCTTACAAGTATTTCTATGATCTCTTAGCATATTCACTATATTTTAAGTCCTGCAGTGAATCTTAGTGAATACAGTAGCTGATGCACAGCACATACAAGTTGTCTTTTTTAAACTGTACATACAGAGCACTAGTGGGAGCCACTGAAACAAAAACCACGTATTACAACATGTAAAGTAATCCCAGATTCCTACATTCAGCACAGACACAGACGACTGGATCAACATCAAAGTCATACCATTACAAATTTCTGAGAAAATTTCAGGTTCCAGTGAAGAATCAAGGTGCTCAATCAGGCAATTTTCAGTGAGCAGTACTTTTTTAATCATACACTGCAGGCCATCAAAGCAGGATATTTTGACAATACAGTAACAGACAGAATAGAACAAATGGAGCTCTAAGTTTTGTGTGTCAGAGGTAGAATCCGATGATAGCCAAAAATATTTATAGACTCTGACTGTGTAACTGACAAGTAAACAAAAGTGCAATTTGATCCTATTACCAAATTCTTCACTACGGAATTCACCCAGATGTTAAGAAACACCAGGACTGTGAAATACTGGATTTGCTCTATTGGAGAAATAGAAATGTCAACAACATCCTTAAGACTGTGCCCAGCTTTCAGAGGTGCTGAGTCCCCACAGCTCCTACTGACTTTACATGGCACTGAGAATCTTCAGCACTTTGAGAAAGAACCAAAACCAAACCCAAGAGTTTTGGAACATGAAGCCATTGAGAAATCAAGATTTGTTGTTTAACTGACCTTCCTTTGTTGTTCTACTGCATTCCATGAGTATTTGTGGTCTCCCCAAATACTCATCCAAGGTATTAGACTCTCTACTTCTCTCTGACTAAATTAGATGATGCTCTCTCTTTCACCCCAAGGATGGGGGATCAAAGTGAGCAATGATCCTGCTCTTCCTATCCAAAGGGAATGGTAATATTATGTGTTTGTATCTCAACTTTGAACCTACAATCAACAGGTTTTCTTAAGAAGAAAAATGCCATATGAAGAATTAAAATAACAACATTGTACCCAACCCACTCAAAGTCCTGCTAATGCAAATAATTAAAGAGGGTCCCCAGATTACCCTGTGGTGTGAATCTCATTTCAGCTCTTCTCAATTTTACACTCCCATCTCATCACCCTACTTCCCCCTTCACAGAGTGATGACTTTAGACAAGCAAAAGCACTTTTAATCCTTGGGCTCACTGTCCCACTTATAGAAAAATGAACACCAAATGTCCCCACAGGAGATATTCTAACACAGCCTGGCCCACCACCCAGCTGCCCTCACTGCTCCTTACAGCCTCTTACTGAGTTAACTGAGTAAACTCTTCAGTAAACTCTCTGCAATGTGCACGGCACAAAAAAACACCCACACAACAAATTCCAAACCTAACAAGCAATGAGGACATAGGACTAAGTCCTCTTACCTGGAGCTATCTTTATTGTGGTGGACACCATTTGGTGATAAGCAAGGATGTGAGGTGAGAATCTCCACACAAGTGCTAGAAAGCATACAAGTGCTCTGTGTAGATCTTCAAACTGTTTCACTTCAAGGCCTCAGCCAACATTTATGCAAGCCCATGTGTCCAGGAGATTACATAGGACAATTTCTTATCTCAATTGTACAGCAACAGCTCTATCTGCAGTGCAACTTCTTATAAGGAACATCAGAACAGCACTGGAGCAAAACCAAACACAAAGTACTCAACAACTGAGGCAGACTAAAGAACACGACTTCACAAACAACAGTGGGCACAGAGATGTGACCTGATGATTGACCAGGCCAGAAGTTCATTAATTATTTCAATAAGAGCAGGTGGACAGACAAGGAATCAACATATTCCCATCTGCAAATGAGGACTGTCTCATCACTGGTCCATACACATACTGTTGGCTTGAGGAGCACCTGTGCTCCTAAATCATCACTTTCTGGAAATCCCACCTTTAGAGCCTGGTCTAGTACTTGATATCTGCAAAGCAGGTGGTCTGTCTGATTTAAATCATGACTGGCATCAGCAGTCAGTAAAACTTGGTTTCAATACACCAGTTTTAAACCTGCTCTGCATTTGTAATTTTCAGTTATTTTGCTAAGAAGGGTTTACTCCTACTTAGTGGAGTAAAGATTAAAACATGCTGATCGCCATTCTTATCTCAGCTTTTGGTACTCTTCTTTCCCAAGCATGAGGATTCACTACATCTACAAATATTTACTGTATAATAATATAATTATGTTGCTGACTATACGTTTATTCAGATGTTAATTTTTTTAATTTCAATTATATTAGGAGAGGGTAAAAAACTCTTGTATTTGCTAGACAATCTGAATTCAATTGAAATGCATAAAAGAGCATTTCAATATTGTTTTGTAAGAACTGTGACCCTAAGAGCATTGCTTACTTCTTCTGTGTATTTATCAAAGCATGTAAATTTATCAAAGCATTTAAGTGGTTTATTTAACACAAGAGGCAACAAATTTACTCATTAGATGAACAAACTACTTCTAGGAACACAGAAGCTCATTGTACAAGGCTCCTGGATGCCTAAAAATGCAGGTAAATATTCAGTGGCAACTATGTCATTCCACTGATATAAAAGGAAATTTGCCACCTAACCTGTCTAGGCACTTGGGATATCCACCTTACCTGGTCTGCTAAATTTCAAAGTATCTGTGAAAGACTGGTCATAACTCCTTCTACCCCTGAATTTTTATAGACCTATTCAATGTCTTTCTAATTTATAACTTAAGAGTGATTTTTTTTTCCATTTCCTAGCCAGTTTCTCCATTTTGAAGGCAGCGTCCAACAAAGTTACAGGCCACTTCCATCAGCTAGCTGATACTGGAGCCAACGATCAGACTTATAGTTAAGAAAGAAAAGAGAGCTGACACTAAGAAAACACAAATAGCAGAGCTGTTCCCCTGTAGAGGTTCTTGGTGCAGCACACTGCACCGGTATCTTCAAAATCTAAACTGAGCCTGAAAATTAAAGATGTTTTCCCTGACTCACTGCTAAAAAATATAAAACTTCACCTCATTAAAATTAATCAACGTGTTCTGAATGTTTCAAAATTTATTAAAAACGTTATGACTAAAACAGGCTGAGCATAAAATGTAATTATGAGCCCTTTCAAACAGACGAAATTTAATTACATTACAGCTAATTTTTTACTTATTTTCCTACAGTGCCCCATTCCAGGTCTACTATTGCTGAAGAGACACTCCGGCCTAAACGTGACTTGGGGGGGCGGAGAGGAAGAGAAATCAGGAGTTCACTCAAAACCCATCACAGTTCCTTCAAAACCCACCGAAGTTCCTCTAAAACACACCCAAACCCACCTGGGGGCGTTCCTGGGTCCCCTGCTCCGGGTGACCCTGCCCGCGGCCGGCGGGTCGGGCTGGGCTGCCTCCCGACCCTGATGGTTCCCCGAAGCCAAGGGGGCGTTCGGTGGGGTCTGAACGTCTTTAAGGGTCCTATCCCGTATCCAAGGGATGCCCCCGGCTCCAGGGGCGGTCCCAGGGGCTGGAGCGGCTCCGCGGCCCCGCTCCCCGCAGCCCCGGCGGCCTCGCCGGGCCCTCCCCGGGGCCGCACACGCGAACCCCGCGGGCCGGGCCGGGGCTGCCCGAGGAGCGGAGCGGACACGGTGGGGCCCGCTCGGGCTCCGCTCCGTCCGCCGCGGCCCTTCCCTCCTCTACCTCCTCCTCCCCTCCATCCTCCTTCCCCCGCCTACCTCCGCCGGCAGCGCCCGGCTCCGGGCCCGGCCGGGCACGACACTGCGGCGGCGCCGGAGGAGGGGCGGCCCCGAGCGCAGCCGCCGGCCCTGCCCGCGCTGGGCTCGGCTCGGCTGAGATCGGCTCGGCTCGGCTGTGCCGGGCCCGGGCAGCAATCCCGGCCCCTCCGCGCCTGCTCCGCGGGCACCGGGCTGTGGAGCCGCCGCCTCCTCCCGCTGCCGGGTCCGGCGGCGCCTCCGGGGACACAGCACGCGGCCCCGTGCGGGTGTGACACTGTCACGGGGCAGGGGACGGCACCGCGGTGCTCAGAGGGATGGAGCGCCTCTCCCGCGAGGAAAGGCTGGGAGGATCGGGATTGTTGAGACGGTTTAGGGGTGACCTAATCGCGGCCTTCCAGTGCCCGGAGGGAGCCTACCTGAAAGATGGGGAGAGACTATTAACAAGAGCGCATAGTGACAGGACAAGGGGGAATGCCTTCACACTGACAGAGAGTAGGTTTAGATTAGATATTAGGAAGAAATTCTTCCCTGTGAGGGTGGTGAAGCCCTGGCACAGGTTTCCCAGAGAAGCTGTGGCTGCCCCATTCCTGGAAGTGTCCAAGGCCAGGCTGGACGGAGCTTGGAGCAACCTGGTCTAGTGGAAGGTGTCCCTGTCCATGGCAGGGGATTGGAATGAGATGATCTTCAAGGTCCCCTTCCAACCCAAACCATTCTATGATTTTAGGAAGCTGGTTGTGGAACAGCACATCCCAATCCCAGCTGAGCTGGGATACAGGACGAGGAAGAGAGGGGCTGTTAGGACATCCCTGGCCCTGCTCTGAGAATTTAATCTCAGAATATTTTCGCATGCTTTTCACCCGGGTTTGTTTCAGTCACCAGCTCGGTACAGTGCAGCGTGCCAGCCTGATAGAGCACCACGAGTAATCAAACAAGCATTACAACAGCTGTGCCACATATGGCTCCTGAAATATCACACTGGTTCGTAATACCAGTACAATCTTGGAAAAATTACTGCCTAATGTTAAAAATGCTGCCATTTCCCCAAGAATGGATTATTAACAGAGGGTTTTGGTTTTGTAAACTAAGCCTTCATTATGAAATCGTTTCTGATTTAAAGTAAACCATCTCCCCTGTGTTTCATGTTGAAAAGACAAAAAAGCAGGATGAGGAAATGAAGGAGAAATACAACTCACAAAAAATTTTTGTCCCTTTCCTGTGGCTGCACTGGGGACTCCTTAACCTCCCCATGCTTTATACGATCACATAAAATAACTCTCTGTGTAACAACTCAAAATGTTACAGGTCTACTGGTGCTCTTGATTTTTACGATTTGGATGTAAAAGGCAAATGTAATTCCTAAAATGAACAAAGAACCTAAATGCCACAAATATTTTAAAAAGTAACACCCCAAATTCCAGCTGCAAGCAGCCTTCCAAGGGGTAATATTAAAAGCAATGAAGTTTGCCAACCAGCAAAGGAGGGAATTTTTATCACTCTATTCCAAAACTGAATCATTACTTGACTACTCCAGTTAAAAATAAACACGGGTTTTAGAGCTACATCAGCAGGTATTTATTAGGTCTATTTTTCAATATGATAAAAGTTACTAAAATGAAAATATAAGATAACAATGGAAAGTGTATCCTTTAAGGATATACATAAATCACGCTACACAAACTCTGACTCGGTTAAGTCAACGGGAATGTGCTGCCCGGCGGCTCCACCTGGCGGCTTCCCACTCCTCGGGAGCATCTCCTCACCTGCAACCTCAGGAAAGCCCGCACCTCCTCACCTGAATGCCAGCAGGGACAGCTCTGCTCCGTGTATCTCCGGATATCTGTGTATTATGCCTGGATCTGTCACTTCTTCCACAGTGTATTTTCACACCTCAACATGCACCTTTCACAAGTAATCAGTACCTGAGATAGATGTTCACATGCTTTTTAACTCCAGGAGCTGGTGGAGTGAGAGCAGTTCAAGGTGGTCCTGCTCCAAATCAGATCCTGTCAATCTCTCACTGTATTCTCTGTATATTAAGGGACTGGATCATCTCTCTTATGAGAAAAGGCTGAGGGAGCTGGGCCTGTTCAGCCTTGAGAAGACACAGCTGAGAGGGGACCTCACCAATGTGTAGAAATATGTAAAGGGAGGGTGCCAAGAGGATGGACCAGGCTCTGCTCGGGGGTGCCCAGCAATGGGACAAGAGGCAACGGTAGGAACTGATGCCCAGGAAGTTCCACCTGAACATGAGAAAGACCTTCTTTCCTGTGCAGTGACTGAGCACTGGAAGTGATTGTCCAGAGAGGGTGTGGAGTCTCCTTCATTGGGGATAGTCAAGAACTGTCTGGACACAATCCTGTGCCATGTATGTGCTCTGGGATGACACTGCCTGGGCAGGGAAGTTGGACCAGATGACACCATTCTGTGATTCTGTATTCACTGCAGCGTGCTGGGCTCTTTTAAGTACTAGATGTCATTGCTCTTCCTACATCCCTTTTATCAGCACTGATTCACTATTTAATTTCCTGTATCAGGATGTTTTACATATTTTTCCTGTTCAGGTTACTAGGAACTCCATGCTTTTAAAAAACAAGAGAAAAAAACACATTCCCTTTCATCCCCCAAAATCATCTGTCAAAGGCAGGCATCAGAAATCAACCACAGCAATGCTGCACTGGCATTCTGGTCTGATGAACCACTTGGCAGGTTTCTGTCAAGTCCTTCCCTAACATACAGCAGAACCCAAAATAACTGCAGGCCCATTCAGCCTGTCCTCAGTGTGCTGCATTCACTGCATATTTTTCACAGCTTTTGACATACTAAGAGATAGGCCAAGGGGCACCACAAAGGATTTCAGCTGGAGATGGGCTGTTGCTACCAAAACAATGATTCATTCTGGCTTTCAGTTTGCTCATTACAACATCTCAAGAAAACGCCTATGAGAAGCAGGCTCAGTCTAAAGGAACTGGCCAGAAACACCTGATCCAATTATCTGAAATACCTATTACCTTCACAGGAAACCATGACAGATTCTTTTTTTTAAGATGAGTCACTTAATCTTGTTGGACAGAAAGAAGCTGTTTCTCTAAATCTTCTTCTGTGCTAGAGATTCACAGAGAAACCAGGAGGATTAGGCAACTGTGACAGACTTAGTTTCATTGCTTCACTTAGTTACACTTTATTTTTCTTAAAATCTTGGTTTTTTTTTTTTTAATCACAATGGCAGGACAAAAGCCATTCCAAACTTGGGGCACACTTTAAGTAATATTGATCCATTTGCCTAAGTTTGCAAAGCACCTAAAAATACCCTTGAGGTTTCCCTTTGGTATCAATGCATTGCTTGGATATGGGCGAGGATGGTTTAATTTACAGTGTTAGATCAAAGCAAGGAGAAAAGAGGGAAAAGGAAGAAATGTCATATGTTCTCCAGAACATGTCGTGGGAGTGGTCCACAGAGAAGAAAGGAACGGAAGACGTAGCAAAGCAGGTTTCTGATCACATCTGAGTTTAGAAGGGCATGATATTTCTGAAATCTGGGAAACCCTCTGCTGCAGTGATGAAAAGCTGTTTTGCTTACATCCTTCTGATGTCCAGGGCTCCAGACAAGCTCCATCTCTCCCTTGGTGCTGTAATGCCCTGGTATGTGTGCTCTTACAGAGCCACAGCCAAAACAGCAGCTGTTCTGGAAGGTCTGCTTCATATTATAGTGATAATTTGAACCTTTTCCTTCCTGACAACACAACAGTTTTGTAACTTCTGAGTTCCTCGTATTATACTCTGGATTGCCAGGAAAATGGCGAGCCTTCACAAGATCAAACGAGGCAGAACTGCATCAGAAAAGAAAATGAATACAAAAGTAATGCAGCATTTAAACTCTTAAACAGAGCCACTTAGTAAGGAAATTTTGCAACTGCAGAACGGCTGTTTAAAAGGAACGAAAAAAGGCAACATTTCTAAAAGCAGGAACAAAGCTCTAATTGTCACCTATTAACACTCTTCACCTCTGAGCTCGAAGGTGTAAATAATGCAGCAGAAATGACCAAATCACTGCAGGAAGACACAATAGCAGGTTACTGAGACCCACTACAAGCAAAGCATATGCTTGATGGCAAATCTTTTCCCCATTTCCTACATTAGATATTCATCAGGGTCTGACTTCTAATTGAATGCAAATAAAGAATATAACAGGTTTTTGCATATGAAGTGAAGCTATAGAACATCTGCCTCTTCACAGCCTTTCAATGTACCTTATGTGACATTAAGCAAAGAAGAGGTTTGCCTCATCAGCTTGTAGGAAATGGTGAATTTGAAGAACAGTTTGACTGAACTAAATCATTCCACTGCTGCTGTAAAAGGTGTCTCTCTGATCTCCCCGTGCAGTCCTAGGTGATAAAATGCCAAGTTGGGCAAAATCAGTTTCAATGCCAAAAAGATGGACTACTGGTGCAGAAGGTCACAAAACACTATTAATTGCCTTATATCATCTCAGTCTTGAAAGATGATCCAGAAATATAGGCTGGTGCTTTGGAATGGAGCACACATTGCCAGCTAGAGCTATCCAAGCAAGCTATTAAAGGTACTTAAGGCATAACCTTACCTGCAAATGGTATAACCTATCTCCTGCTTCTTTAGACTCTTTTATTCTGTTTTTTTACTTCCTCGGCAGCCTAATTCACTAATTGTGTTTACTGGTACAGAGTAGTCATTTTGTGACCTTTTCAGAACAAAAAGCTACAGCAATTCTGAATGTAAAATCAGTGTCCTGAAATTAGCTTACATGTTTATATATTATAGCATATATAAACACTGAAGTGGAAATAAAATCCTGGCTAAAAAAATAGCAACACAAAACACCTGCAAGGTTTCCAGAGAGGAGCTAAAAAAAAAAAACACTACAATCTCCTATAGCCACTCTTTTGCAGAATGTATCGAAGAAAAGTGCATCTGAGGTTTCTTCAAACCTCTAATTAAAGGGCATCCATAAAGCAGACAAATGTCAAAATCAGATCTAAAATGTCTGTTGTAAATTCAGTTAAGGAACAAAGCATTTTAGTATCAAGGATGGATGACATTTGAAGGTGTCTGGAATAACATCAAT